TAATATTATAACGTTTTATCTCACATTTTGGCTACAATGAAGAGTGGCATCATGGTCATCTCTCCAGCGCACTCCTTACTGCTCAGTTTCGGAACTCAATAATAATAAGCGAAATATAAAAGTGTTGGGATTAATTATTAAAAAATGAGGAGTGAGACTCTGAAGATGAGTAATGAGAGAAGACTAGAGTTTCTGCAATAATTTTATTGTATTATGAGTGAACACAAAAAAGAAAAAGAAAAATTTTTGAGTGAATAACAAAAAATGTACAATTATAACAACTTCAAAGGTTTGAATAGTTAATGAACATTAACTGAATATAAAAAAAATTAAAAATAAATATTTAAATTTTAAACAAACTAATTATGAAATTATTACTTTTAATAAAATTTTTAGTTCAAAAAATATCTCCATCCAAAAACTTTTATTTTTTTACATTACAGCTGATACATAACCACAAAAAACGTTAGGAATTGCATGTCAAAACGCATAATAAATCAAAGCAGCCACAGTAGTTGGCCAATGATGAGCTAATGGCGTTTTGGTAAAGCAAAATGGCAAATGTGTGGCAACCACAAAAACCACGTTTTGTGCGGGTTAGTGCGGGTTATTACTTATAAAGGTAGTTTCACATTTATTAAGGAATATTATTTATTCATTAATTCAAACAAACAAACAAAAAACAATGACAATGTTTGAAAATTGAAAAAATAATTATATATACAAATAAATTTTGAATACTGAAAGGATAAAATATAAACTTATATAAAAAAAAAATAAATAATAAAATACGATTTAAATTTAATTTACTTACGCAATTTGTTATTTTAATGAAATTTTATTGTGGCTTATAAATATTAATTTAGTTCACATAATTTAGTACAGCTAATTAAAATATATAACACAAATATTCTGAATTTAGAACATTAATTCATTATTATTTAGAAAGAAAGATTTTTTAAAATATATAAAAAGAACTATTATATTTTAAATTTTGTTATTAAAATATTTTACTAGATATTTATTAATATTTTTTACTTAATATATTTTTAATATATTAGATAAATAAAAACAGTTTTGTTAATTTTCTTGCAAATTTTTTACATTTTGAGAAAAAAGAAAATGCATTTTGTTAAATATAATATTTCTTAAACATTATTATCAAACAAATTAATTTTGAAAAAATGTCACTTGTTTATTTTTTTTAAATTTTTTTTGTGTTATTGTTACAATTTTAAATAAAAAGTAGTTATAACATATTTATGTTAAAATTTAAAATATATTTTTGTTGTATGAATTATTTTTATAAAGAAAAATTCTTATTTACTTGTAAAAATAACTAGTAGGTATTTTATAAAATTTTAATTTCCTCTCTTTTCAATTAAATATTTTTATTACTGCTATTTAAAGCTTTGCCTTTAATTCATTGATTTTATATAAGAATTGAAACTTAAAATATTATTTACATTCGTTATTCCAAAAGTAAGTGTCATTTTTGTTATTATTATCAATTAGTATTAATCTTATTTTTAATTATTATATTAGGTAATATTAATCTTAATTTCGGTTACTATTATTAGATAATATTAGTTTAGTATTTAATTATTTTTTTAAAAAGGCATATAAATGAGAAATTAATATTTTAAAAATTTTATTAAATTAATTTTAATTATAAATAAAATTTAAAAACTTTTTTTTTTTTAATGTATTAATATTTAAATAAAACTTATTTGACTTTTAAAAATATTTTGTAATAGTTTTTCTGAATTTTAACTGCAATTCAAAAAGTTTACAGTAAAATTTAATAAAGAAAATATTATATTGCACAATGCCATAAACGCATATAAATTTTTAGATATATAAAACACTTTAAGAATTTATTAATTTTAATTTTTGAAATCAATTATTCAGAAAGAAAACGATTTTGGTAATTGAAAAGCATTTGAATAATTAATTAAAAAACATTTTTTTTTTGTAATTCAATATTATTCAATAGGCTTTGTATTGAATATTTTTATTTATATTTAGATTTTTATTTAACACAATGAATTTAAAATGTACTAATAAATCAAACAGAATAATATTTTTTTAAATTAATTTGTATTACAACACTTTTATGAGACACATTTTTTGTTAATTTTAATTAATTATTTATATTGTTTTATATGTTATATTTACAAATATTATGTGTAGTCACAAAAAAACAAATATATTTGAAAGTTTATTTATTAAATATAAATCAATAGAAAATTTCACCAACTTTTAAATATTTTATTCAATTATTTTAAAACCACTTACATTTTAAATAAATTAACTTTTTATTTAATTTGTAAATAAATACTTAGTTTTTCCACAACTCATTTTGAAACACTTTATTTATTTAACACAATTAAATTTTATACTTTATACTTTATTTAAAAAATTTGTTAATGAAAATATTTTCTAACAAGGATTGCCTAATATATCATTTGATTATAGTTTTTATATCAGTTTTATTATTTATTATTGAATTTAAAGTTTTCTTGTTGACGGTTAACTTCTAACTGATCAGTTAATTGCGTAGAGTCACTATTTAATAGTCGAAGGTGGATGCTCAGTTCTACTTTGAAGTCTACGGCCTTAGATTGAAATTTGAATGAAGTTGTTTTCGCAACTATAACAAATACGTTGAACTGATAAAGAGAAATCTATTGCAAAACGCAGCGCTCAATTCGCTAAAAAGAGCGTAAAGAGTTTAAAACGCTCCAAAATACAAGGTTACGACGATAACTGGGACTAATCGTCTCCAATGAAATCAATGCATTTAATTTGTTAAAATTCATTCCTAAACTTTTATATACTTTACGCTTTAACAGGGTGGGTAATAAAAAAATATTAGTTTAAAACTAATATTCTGAAGAGAAATAAAAGCTTTTTGGTTTTTATTTGGTTTCGTAGCCTTGGAATTCTATGGAACGGTGATGTATGTATATATATGTGCATATTTGTTAATAATATTGCAATATATGTTGATGAGTTAACAATTGGGAGTAATATCGGATAATAAAATCATGATGATTTAACTCCGTAGAATAAAATATAAAAGCAAGTAGAAAATTTATTTTAACTTTGTCTAAATTCTTTTACTAATTAATACTTAGTAATACTAACACTAACCAATATATGCTTTTTTATAAATTATATATTTAACATTATTTCTAAATTAGGGAAAAACATAGCCCATGTAAAAGAAATGTTAATGGCGATTTATTTCTGAAAACATGTGCCAGATTTAATTTATCTATTAATGATACACTTTTCCCCCACAAGCGTCATCTCCGTGTGACTTGTAGGTTACGTGATTCTGGGAACAAAAGATAGCCAGATTCACCACATATGTATCATAATATCTGCTCAAACAAACATCTATGTTTACAATGCCTGTGTAAATCCGTCCTATTGTATGGATTAGAAACTTGATTGTTCAACATTGAAAAACAAAGAAAACTTCAAAGTTTGCCTGCGCAACATTTTAAGAATTTAGTGGCCATGTAGAATTTCAAATATGGAACTACTTCTACAAACAAACGAAGAAGATATCAACATACAAGTCAAGGACCGAAAATATAATAGGCTTCGCTATGAAAGGTACGGCTACAAGCCGTACGACGAAATATGCTACGCAACACTTCAATGAAGCCCCAAGGCAACAGACACAAAGGAAGACTATGTAATACCTAGAGAAGAATGTTAATAAATAAAACTTGCAAATTTATATAAATTTTTATTGCTAAAGATAGAATATAACTTTAGCAATGGAGAGTCGAAGCATCTCTAGTACCTCTTTGAGATGCTATGTAATAAGTCCACGCTTCTAATGGAGTACGATTAATGATAATAATATAATAACTATTAATTTATTTTTATTTTACTAATTTTATTTTTTAATTCAATAACTTTATTTTTGTTTATGTTCAAAGTAATTGAATTTATAATCTCAAACCTATTTGAAATAATAATTTTGTGTTGTTGCCATGTTGCCATGTTGCCAAGGGTTAATCAATACGTATAGGTACATATGAAGTATTCAAATTTCATCTGTCTAGTCTCCCAAATTAACGTTGCACACATTTTATGGGTCTATCAGACAGAAACGCTAATAGACTAAACATATTCGTCATATAATTATTTTTATTATAAGTAAACAATTTATAGATATATTGTTTATATATTTTCCGACATTTCTTTATGTGGGTTACAAACATCTTAACAAACTTAATATCTTCTTTCCTGCTAACTGTATAAATATATACCATATAATTATAATAATATATGCAAATATAGACAAATATAGACAAATATATAATAATAGACAAATAATTTTTAATATGCTTCAAAATTAGAACCATATTATTAGAGATAAAAACTAAATGAATATTAGGTATATCGCATAAATTTTTTTTGGGGTAGACTTTTTTGACATACTGACATATTTTTACAAGGATAAAAAATTGAAGATAATTCCCATATAGAAATATGAGAAAAAGGTCTTTGAAATTTTTTAAATTGTATAAGTCGTAAGAAATAATATCGGAATCAAATCTTTATAGAAATCCCACTTTAGAGGCTACAACTTAATATTAATATAGAAGTTAAAACGTAATTAACATATGTTATATACCATTAATATTTTGAAATCTGATCTTTTCCTAATACTAAAAATTTATATAAGGTTGATTCGAAAGTAATATCCTTATTACAGACGTAAATTAAACCGTTTAG